TATGTAGTGTTTGGTGGTGATTGATGTTGTGTTCAATGTTGTCGAGTGGTTGTTGTGTTGACAGCGATGTTTAATTTGCAAATGAATGAATGCAAGTAAGGTATAGTTTGTTAGTAGGGTCGGTGGATTGTGGCTTGTGGGATTAACCGTCACGGTTTTACTCTTGTGATTTGTTGCATGGTAAGAACCGTCGACCAAGAATCGAAGTTTTCTTTGGCAGCCCCGTACACGGGGCTAATATCAATTCAACAGAACAGTGAGTGTGTGCTGGTGGTGGTCGGATGTGTTGTTGGGTGCTTGACTCCTGGCCACAAACATCGACCGACCTACTAATTACATACAACTCACACGCACACAAAATCCAATCTTATTCATCCTCAATAACCAGCTAAATCAAACACTCATTCGCACCAACAATCCTCGTACGACACTCTCAGTCATCAACATACCCCCCACCACACACACACATACACCATCAAATGGATAATCTTCCTAACTGAGTTCAGCCAGCTAGCCAGCATTTAGACCACAGAAATCATTGTGTACACATGCAAACTGCTTCACCCTGTCACTCGCATACACGTTCAATGTGCTCCGTGTCCACCGACCGTTCTACATGTGATCGGTCGTAGTGTTCCGTGCATTGAACATCATGATCGTCTGTTCTCTCGCACGCTACTCAATGTACTGCTTGATCATCGAGTTGTAATGGCTTTGTCAGGTGTTGCTGACCGAATTGAAGTGTTTGTTTTCACTCAGGGATTAGTGAGTGCAAAGAGACCTGTCACCAGCCAGTATCTGATTTCTGTTCATTATCCAATCGGTCAATGTGTCATGCATCATTGTGACAGATGTGTACATTAATGATTCTGTGTCGGTCACTGTCAGTGTCTGCCTTTATCCGCTGGCATGTGTTCGTTTCATTCATCTTGTATGACCGAGTATTAATCAGTTTCGAGTGGATCGATTCACACGAAGCTGATTTGTCTCAAGTTTTCCGATGCAATTATGCAGTATTGATTTCGGTGGGATCTGTGCAATCCTGTACAGGCGGCATATTTTGAACGTGACTGTTGATTGATGTATTGTGATGCTTGTGTTGTTGGTGTACTGTGCAATTTGTGTATGTTTGATTGAGTGTGTTTAAGGATGAGCTTTGAGAGAATGAAGCTAGTTGACACTGGTCGTCTACTGATAAATTGAGTTTGTGAGTAGTATGTGTAGTGTGCTGGTTATCGTTGAGATTGGTATGGTTTTTGCTGTATGGTGGCTTAAGATTGGTTATGTGAGCGTTTTTTTAGGTAGAAGCAGTGTTGTATGTAGTGTTTGGTGGTGATTGATGTTGTGTTCAATGTTGTCGAGTGGTTGTTGTGTTGACAGCGATGTTTAATTTGCAAATGAATGAATGCAAGTAAGGTATAGTTTGTTAGTAGGGTCGGTGGATTGTGGCTTGTGGGATTAACCGTCACGGTTTTACTCTTGTGATTTGTTGCATGGTAAGAACCGTCGACCAAGAATCGAAGTTTTCTTTGGCAGCCCCGTACACGGGGCTAATATCAATTCAACAGAACAGTGAGTGTGTGCTGGTGGTGGTCGGATGTGTTGTTGGGTGCTTGACTCCTGGCCACAAACATCGACCGACCTACTAATTACATACAACTCACACGCACACAAAATCCAATCTTATTCATCCTCAATAACCAGCTAAATCAAACACTCATTCGCACCAACAATCCTCGTACGACACTCTCAGTCATCAACATACCCCCCACCACACACACACATACACCATCAAATGGATAATCTTCCTAACTGAGTTCAGCCAGCTAGCCAGCATTTAGACCACAGAAATCATTGTGTACACATGCAAACTGCTTCACCCTGTCACTCGCATACACGTTCAATGTGCTCCGTGTCCACCGACCGTTCTACATGTGATCGGTCGTAGTGTTCCGTGCATTGAACATCGTGATCGTCTGTTCTCTCGCACGCTACTCAATGTACTGCTTGATCATCGAGTTGTAATGGCTTTGTCAGGTGTTGCTGACCGAATTGAAGTGTTTGTTTTCACTCAGGGATTAGTGAGTGCAAAGAGACCTGTCACCAGCCAGTATCTGATTTCTGTTCATTATCCAATCGGTCAATGTGTCATGCATCATTGTGACAGATGTGTACATTAATGATTCTGTGTCGGTCACTGTCAGTGTCTGCCTTTATCCGCTGGCATGTGTTCGTTTCATTCATCTTGTATGACCGAGTATTAATCAGTTTCGAGTGGATCGATTCACACGAAGCTGATTTGTCTCAAGTTTTCCGATGCAATTATGCAGTATTGATTTCGGTGGGATCTGTGCAATCCTGTACAGGCGGCATATTTTGAACGTGACTGTTGATTGATGTATTGTGATGCTTGTGTTGTTGGTGTACTGTGCAATTTGTGTATGTTTGATTGAGTGTGTTTAAGGATGAGCTTTGAGAGAATGAAGCTAGTTGACACTGGTCGTCTACTGATAAACTGGGTTTGTGAGTAGTATGTGTAGTGTGCTGGTTATCGTTAAGATTGGTATGGTTTTTGCTGTATGGTGGCTTAAGATTGGTTATGTGAGCGTTTTTTTAGGTAGAACAGTGTTGTATGTAGTGTTTGGTGGTGATTGATGTTGTGTTCAATGTTGTCGAGTGGTTGTTGTGTTGACAGCGATGTTTAATTTGCAAATGAATGAATGCAAGTAAGGTATAGTTTGTTAGTAGGGTCGGTGGATTGTGGCTTGTGGGATTAACCGTCACGGTTTTACTCTTGTGATTTGTTGCATGGTAAGAACCGTCGACCAAGAATCGAAGTTTTCTTTGGCAGCCCCGTACACGGGGCTAATATCAATTCAACAGAACAGTGAGTGTGTGCTGGTGGTGGTCGGATGTGTTGTTGGGTGCTTGACTCCTGGCCACAAACATCGACCGACCTACTAATTACATACAACTCACACGCACACAAAATCCAATCTTATTCATCCTCAATAACCAGCTAAATCAAACACTCATTCGCACCAACAATCCTCGTACGACACTCTCAGTCATCAACATACCCCCCACCACACACACACATACACCATCAAATGGATAATCTTCCTAACTGAGTTCAGCCAGCTAGCCAGCATTTAGACCACAGAAATCATTGTGTACACATGCAAACTGCTTCACCCTGTCACTCGCATACACGTTCAATGTGCTCCGTGTCCACCGACCGTTCTACATGTGATCGGTCGTAGTGTTCCGTGCATTGAACATCATGATCGTCTGTTCTCTCGCACACTACTCAATGTACTGCTTGATCATCGAGTTGTAATGGCTTTGTCAGGTGTTTCTGACCGAATTGCCTCTCTTTATTCGATTGATCGTAGTCAAAAACCTCGGTGTTAGTTCTCTGATTCGCGCTACTTATAAGTAATATATGACGCGACTAAAAACCTTATGTCTGGCAACAGAAGATGGGCGAAGATCAAGGAAAGAAGAGCGGGAATTCAATGGGATTTGTATGAAACGCATGAGCAAGGGTGATATGTCAGACAAAGGATTGATGTTGTTTGTAACAGGAACAGTCCATTTCGATATGATGGATTGATTTTTTGCAAATTAACGATTTACGATATGGTTTTTCTATTTTACCAATTAACTCTGTAATTTTGAGATAAATACAATTCGGTTGCCCTCACCTGTGCTCTCCTTCAGTACACTACTACAAAGCAATGTTTAACAATTTGTTACACAATATCACATTGAAGAGTTCAGATATGCTTTGTAAATAATCCAAAGCAATGTATCTGTAATCACATAGCATCATATTAGATCAATAGTAACTTCTCCGACATGAAAATTTACATGGCGAAAATAGCAACAATCAACAAATTCTGATCTGGTGGTGTGAACTGTTGAAAATTCTCGAAAATGAAACCAAACAACTGTCCTGTACAACTTGGTTAGTAATATTTTTCTTCCACTGGTGTTAGTTTGAAAAGTTTGAAAAATTTTCTACTGTTGTCTAATGCCGCTCGCTGCCTTCTCCGTCTGTTTTGTTTTCGCTACTCACTAATGTTCGCGACCATTGTATAGGCTTCTTATCAGCCTGCCCCTAAGCTGACTCCTCTTCTCATCGTACTCAGAGCCAGAGTGGGAGTAGGCTGGAAGAAAGGTAGGGGCGGCCAAACCAAAACATGGCACAAATCCATGAAATCACTGACAAGTGGACTGAGTCATCTTGGTTGGTAGATGTAAGCTACCTTGGTTGAGCTCCACGAGACGAAAGCCACCAATGGTTAGAGACCTTGAACGACGTGGTTCAAAATCGTTTACACTAGCACAGATGCATCCACTCTTTTTGTATTCTCTCAAATTCTAATCTTCTGAATTCTTCATCGCTTTTCTTTTTCTCTTCTCAAAACTATTTCACTGAATTATACTTTTTGAATAATATCTTCAAATCCTAATCTTCTGCATCACCGCTAATACTTCTACTGTAGTGAACGAGAACACAGGTGAGGGCAACCGAATTGCATTTGACGGAAATTACAGAGTTACTCAGTAAAATAGGAAAACCATATCGTAAATCGTTAATTTGCAAAATATCAGTTCATCATATCGAACTGGACTGTTCCTGTTGCTAAACATCAATCGATTGTCTGACATTTCACTATTCATGCATTTCATACAAATTCCATTGTGTTCCCGCTCTTCCTTTCTTGATCTTCCCCCATCTTCTGCTGCCACACATTACGTTGACACTCACGTCATATACTATACTATATCTACCACTATGGGATTTAAACTGATAAGTTGCATCTCTGTGTGCTAATGCGCTATGACAACTGATGAACTGATGGTTATGTACATACGTACAAAGTTCTACATTGTGTAAATGACTGACTGACTAACTTAACTGACTTTAACTGATTTGGTGTTAGTCTGCTACTTACTACATATTGTCATTCAAAAATAAAATCATATTGAAATTTTGAAAATTATGTAAATGATTTATTGATATAAATATTGATTGAAAGAAAGAGATCAACATGTAGCAGCTTAGAAATGAAATAAAAATCAATAACTTTTCAAGAAAAAAAACAATTCAACATATACATATTGGTCATCGCTCATCACTCATCGTAATTCACCACTTATTGAAGAATGTTGTTTGGCAAATTCTTCAGGTATTATTATTGAATCTGTGAGTTTCGGTTTCGAATCAAGCGTGAGTTGATTATTTCTAGAACATTCTAGGAATTTTGGAAATTAAAAAAAAATAAAAACAGAGAACTTATTTTGTGCGGAACTAGTGTGTTTTCTAGTTGGCTAAAAATTAACAGAGAATAAATACCGCAGTCCAAGTTAGAGGTAGAACAAATTATCGTATACTTTCTAATTTTTGAAGAGTATTGAATTATTGAAAAATTCATTTTTAAAAGCATTTTTGTTTAGAAGTTAACTTTGATGTTTATGAAAAAGTCAGTCAGTCAGATTAGTGATTTTACTAGGATCCTGTATGCGCGTTTCCGAGACACAGCATACATCGATGGCACGAGATTCTAAAGTCCTAGCTAATGAGCCCTGTTGCCCTATTTGACACAATGTACGTACATTAAAAGCTCTAACATGTAGTCTAGAACGAGGTTCCAAGAGACCAGGAATGACATTTCATGAACTCGCATCGTTTGCATTAGCGGTGCAGTCAGATAAGGGAATGTGAGTAGATTTAGTTGTGGAGAGAAGAGAGGTACTAGGGGGTGTAGGAAGGATTTGATTTCGATCAATTTGGTCTCGTGTTGGCTGTTACAGGTATGAGGGCGGTTGTCACTTTCAGGCTGCCCACACAGTGGAAGGTTGTTTCTTGAGGGACCTGAAAAGGAAGATAGATTAGTGTTGGTCTTAGAGACCCGATAGCGTGACCGCAGAGCCAAAAGGATAACTGCTTGAGGCCGGTCGCGCACAATAACAAATGTTTCCTTTACACCGAATTGCGCGTTCTCTTCATAGAAGCTTTCCACTACAAGTGAAAACAATGTGTACGTGGATTTGGATTCTGGCAAAGTATGTTTAGAGAAATTGTCGGGGACGTTAGACCCCCAGAACTCGTTTGATAAATGCCTTAATTTTGAATTTAATGTTTTCGAGCATGGGCCGATCAGTTGATCTTGAGATCACATTTCTCATCATCTTGGTTGTGATTGGTTACTGTGTTATTTTAGTGCGCTATTTTTGTGACTGTTCCAAAGACGTTTCTATGATGTATAAATAAACGCGATTTGTGTGTGCTTGCTGGGTGTTTGTAGAATATACTTCCTACACTATATCAAGACTTTTCGTTAGTCAACGGATCACGCTAGCCTACCGGGACGCTGGTTCATAATCTCGTTCTCGTTTATCGACTAAGGTGAACCCGTAACAGTTTCAAGCATACTTATTGACGAGCATAACAGAAATACATAACAAAATTTGAACAGTGAGTGTATTTTAAAATTTCAATCTTTTCAACTTAGCCACGGTTTTTACTGATCATTACTTATCAATGTGAATTAGTGTGAAACAATGAAGTACAGAGTAGTCAGTTTAAAATATCCTATTCAATATCCTAAGAGAATTATTGGTCGATTCCTATTGGTCAATTTCAACTAGTCAACTTTATGGTCGTCGTCCTAGATATCAATGTCACCTGCTCCAATGTTGCTTCTTATTGGTTGACCTGACTATCAATGTCACTTCAAATGTTGCTTAATATTGATCGTCTTAACTGTCAATGTCACAGAATTCGATGCTGTTTCCTATTCAACCTAAATGTATAAATACGCATTATCTGTAACGTTTTATGACCAGGACCAGGACCCGGTCCCGGTCCCGGATCCATAATCTGGGACCCTGATTCTTTTCTGGATTCGGACCTCGTACTTTCTGGATGCTTGTAGAATACAGGTTCTACTTCATATAAATTCTTATTTTAACTAAATATGGGGGTTGGGATAATCTGATTTGAGTAGTATGTCGTGTCACCGGATCCTCGATCCTCGCTCTCGTTTTTCCGACTAGATAAACTCGTAATAGTTCAAGTATATCAAGTTGACGTGTTTACGTGCAGGCGTAACAACGTTTAACAATCGAGAAATTACATATCATCAAGTGTGCATATCCCAATGCATCATAGTTAAATGTAAGCCAAATGTAGTTTTATTTCACTTACTTGATAATTCAACATTAAAACACTTGTGTTGATTCCAATTTTCTAAAAATTGTCTATTTGATTCAGATATTGCTTTACCATCTAATACTTCTATATTTTAAGAAAAATAAAAACGAACAAAGCAAATGTAACTTGATCGTCGAATTAAGTTTTATTTTAACTAACAGATAGATTATGAACTTAGTTAGCGGCTTCAAAACTAATCATTAAAAATTGTAGGACACATAGAGATTTGGCTTATGTATATATGTAACCACAATTAATAATTTCCCCAGTTGATTATGATTATTAATAAGTATTGATTAATTTTGTTGAAGCTAGGACAAGAGTGAAGACAAATGATCCAGTGACACAATAGGCTACTCTAATCCGAGCATCCTAAAGCCCCTACACTAACGGTATCAAAAAGTTTTGATAATAGCGTAGATAGTGTATGCTACAAGCATTCAGAAAATATGAGGTTTTGTACAAAAGAAGAATAGGAACATTAAAACTTTACAGACAATTCATATTTATACAATTGGGTCGATAGTGAATATTAACCAATAGGAAAGAACATTTGAAAGTATGTCAACTTGCAAGTTTAGGATGACCTTAAATATTGACCAATAGAATTAGACTTACGAAATAATTTCTTAAGAATATTTGTTGAATATCCTAACAAAAATAAATAGAAATTTAGTTCCCAATTAGTTAAGTGAGCGGCGATACTGATTTCGCATAGAGCCCTGTTTAGGAACCATTTCCGGCTCCAAAGCTCCGGGATAAAGGGGAGAGGGTTCAGGGTAGGATTATCAACTTCCCCTAGTAAAAACAAACTTCATTACAACTAAATAACTAACCAGTGTCTTTATCTGGATTAGTTATGACAAATCATTTTGAAAGCTTTGAAAGATTTTTCGAAAACCTCAAGACCGTTGCCTTGTTTGATAATCAATGGACGCAGAATATCTGAACAATGTATGGAAGACCTAAAGGGTTATTTAGATAGCTGTAGAAATAAAGATATGAAATCTAACCTTGCATGGAATAAGTGAAATCCACTGAACACAAGCTGAGAAAGAAAGATTTAATTGTCTCCTAGTCATTAAGAATAATATGCTCGCATACATTTTAGAGAGTAGAACTAGTGCTCTGCAAAGAAACCCACAACAATAGGATAAACCAAGCATCCATAAAGACGAAAAAAGAGGGAAAGTTACAATCATTGTCATTTACTGCTGTTCACCCGCTACTGATAGCAATGAAGGTGATAGAGACCAGTTTTTCAAGGAGCTGTAGTTCATCCAAGAGGAAAATCTAAGAAAACACCTGAGCATATTGATAGGGCAATTGAACAGCAACGTCAAAATAAAAAAACCAAAGACACGAACGTATTTTGAGGCGATATACAGACTGGGAGTAGGTATTTGAAAAAGTGAGTGAAACACTTTAAAATGACTTTGAACAGACCAGAGTCAATGAAAACCATTAAGACGAAATCACATTACTATCAGTACTAAATGAGGTTTTTGACAACGTTACTGAAAAGATTATCACAGACTCATAGAGAACTCCCACAAGGGACTGAATTTTACAAAGTCCTGCATCCAGAACATCCCACAGACTCTTTCTAAGTAAGAAATGAGATGAAACAAGGCTGTCTAGTCTAAACCATTTCACTTATTGCTAGTTATTTACTGTGAAGATATTCATAGCTGAAGGAAAGCACAGAATACAACGAATACCTTGGGTTCAGATAGATTACTTAGACTTTGAAGATGAATAGGTTTTTCTACAGCATACGTAACAACAAATGCACGCAAAGGCAACCACCAGTTTACTAAAAGCTTTATTATACATAGGCCTGAACTCACAAAGTATGATAAAATTAGCCTCAACCATGTCAGAGTTGATGGCAAAGCTCTAGAAGAGGTGGAAACCTTCACGTACCTAGGTAGCATCACTGGTAAGCAAGGTAGATTTGATAAGGATTTCAAGTTAAGAATTATCAAAGAATGTGCAACATTCCTACAACTGAAGCATATCTAGCCCCCAAAACAAATGTCATTCAAATCCAAAGGTAGAATGTTCAACACTAACGTTAAACAGTTTGATATTATACGGAACTAAAACTTTGAGAACTATCATAACCATTACCAAAAATGGTATATGTATTCATAAACAGCTGACTATGCAAGATACTCCAAATCGGTTGGCAAGCGTTACTAGCAGTTATCGACTTTGTCACAGAACAGATCAGCTGCCAGATAAACAGGAAACCAGTCAAAAAGCTAATGGTAGATAGGAGATATTTCATAGGAACCGTTAAAACTACACAAGATTCTAAAGCTGGGACTTTGACACATAGATCAAGACTATAAATGGCACTTAACATTGATTGAAAGAGACAGTTGTTTAATGATCTCTAGTCAGCGGTCTATGCCCGAGGAAAGTGAACAGGATTAAATAATTCAGTACTGCTGTTTCACAGAAATCAACTTTCAATTTATTTGAAATTCTCATAACACCGGAATTCTTTACTTCAAGTGGTGTCCGTCAAGGATGTCCACTCTTTTCAATCTTGTTTAATTTTATCATAGACATGCTCCTAGAAATAACATTATCCTCGTCTGAATTTTCAGGAGTGCACCTTTTACCAGGAGGCTCGCTTATTGACTTAGAATACGCCAATGACATAGTTCTACTTGGTGAAGACGCTGACAAAATGCAGAGTCATCTGACCACCCTAAGCAACAATGCAAGCATGTTCAGGATGCGGTTCTCACCATCGAAATGCAACATTTTGCTTCAAGACTGGGTTGCATTGGCACCTGAACTAGTGATAGGCAGTGAAGTAGTCGAGCGTGTTGATCACTTCATTTATCTGGGGAGTCTCATCAGTGCTGACGGTCTGGTGACTGACAAAATCTCAGCTCGGATACAGAAGGCTCGATTGGCTTTTGCCAACCTGCGTCACCTATGGCGCAGGCGAGATATCCGTCTGCTGACTAAAGGACGAGTGTACTGTGCAGCAGTTCGCTCCGCCTGCTGTACGGATGAAAGACTTGGTTGTCAAGAGTAGAGGACTTCCGTAGGTTACTAGTCTTCGATCATAGGTGTCTCCGAAGCATTGCTCGTGTATCATGGGACAACCGTATAAGCAATGCTGTCGTTAGGAAACGAGTTCTAGGTAGGGATGGCAAATCAATAGATGAAGTAGTGAAACTTCATCAGTTGAGGTGGTTGGGACATTTGTTACGTATGGCTAACCACCCACTGCCGCGACGAGCTATGTTTTGTAGTGTAGGAGTAGACTGGAAGAAAGCTAGGGGCGGCCAAACCAAAACATGGTAGAAATCCATGAAGTCACTGACAAGTGGACTGAGTCATGTTGGTAGATGTAGACTACCTGGTTGGAGTCCGCGAGACGAGAGTTACCAATGGTTAGAGACCTTGAATGACATGGCTCAGAATCGTTTGCAATGGCGCAGGTGCATCCACTCTTTGTGTTCTATGAAATTCCAATCTTCTGAATTCCTCATCATCTCTATCTTTCTGCCTCCAAATTTATCTCACTGAATTATACTTCTCGAATCATATCATATCTTCGCTCCCTAATCTTCTTCATTACTGCTAATACTTCTATTATTGCTATCACTGTTGGATTTGAACTGACAGTTGCGTCTCTGTGCTGATGTGGTTTGGTAACCTGAACTGATGTACTTACATACGAAGATCTGCATTGTATCTGTCTGTCTGTCTGTTTGTTTGTCAACCTAATCAATATGTTCATGTTATTCAAAATTAGTATCCATCAACAAAAAATTAAAAAAAACAAAACAACTTACCTAAACTTTTTGCAGCTACAATAATAATATCTCTTGATCGATTGGTTTTCATAACAGGATTACCTTGTATATAGAGCTCTTTAAGATTTGACCAATTATTTAATGATATAGACAAATCATCAATCGATTGTAGACAATTATTCGATACATTTAAAGAGATTAATGCATGTAGATTAATTAAATCTTGCAAACTGTCCAGTTTATTACCTGATACATCCAAACAGATAAGACTTTTCTATGAAGTTGGGGGGATTGTTTTGTTTTGGTCAATGGAATGAATCGTTGGTCAATGAATGAGATAGATTATGGGCGCAGTGAAGTAGAGAAAGCCAAAATTAAAAAACAAATTATTTAAGTGGGATTAGTTTAAAAATTAAACAACGGCTATCTATCTATCTCAGCGAAAGAAAATTTCTGACTGTGTTACGCCTGCACATAACAACGTCAACTTGATATACTTGAACTATTATGAGTTTACCTAGTCGGAAAAACGAGAGCGAGGATCGAGGATCCGGCGACACGACATGCTACTCTCATCCGATTTTCCCTACCCCATATTGCGTAAAAATAATAAGACCTGATATGAAGTAGAACCTGTATTCTACAAGCATCCAGAATGTACGAGGTCCGAATCAAGAAGAGAATCAGGATCCCGGACTAACCATTGGACAACGGGGCCGGCATCCAACGGTGTTAATGTCTAACCCTGATTGATCTAGGGATCTTGCACGACCTCACCCATTTGTCTTTGGTAGTTTGTGCCTACATCCGACAGAGGGTTGAACTCCATTGGTCACGTCTTCTCATCACTGGAACTCCGAGAATTTCCTCATGAAGAAGCTAGTCATTAGCGAGCACATTTTACGGTATTTTCAATTAGAGTTATGGAGATAAGTGTGTGTATTTTTTACGCATTGAAATCATCAATTAATCATTCTTAGACCTGGAAGAGTGAACATGACCAGTGAAGTTCAACTTTGTCGGGTGTAGGTAGTAACTACCAAAGACAAACTGATCAGATCTAGACATTAACACCGATGGATGCTGCCGGCCCAATGATTCAAAGGTTAGACGTTCGTGCGCAAGACCAAAGGTCCTGGGTTCGAATCCTGTGAGGTGCAACAGTCCCATACCATGAAGAAACGGCCGTCCAGTGCTTCCAGGTTTCTAATAGTGGTCTAACATCGATCGATTCATGGTTTCAAAAAAATTTAACGATCTTCACAACAACCCCGTAATGCAAATTACCTGTGCTTACTAGTGACTAGCTTCGTGAAGAATCTTCTCCGAGTCCTAGTGGGAAGACGTAACCAGTGAAGTTCAACCTGTTCGGGTGTAGACAGTAACTACTACCGAAGACTGTGTATGAGGTTGCGCAACTCCGTGAATTGACCAAGTTAGACATTAACACCGTTAGATACCGGCCAGTTCAGTGGTCCGATGTTTAGGCGTTCGCTTACAATACTGAAGGCCCTGAGTTCAAATCCTGCGGGGTGCAGGAGTCATGGATGCGCACTACCGTTGATGAGTCCCATACCAGGACGAAACGGCCGTCTTTCAGTGCTTCTCCCAGGTTTCTCTAATGGTGGTCTACCAACATTGATTGATTCATCGTTTCAAAAAAAAAGATATATCATATCGAAAATAATCTATGAGATAGATTATGACAACAACAACAATGACAACAAAAAACGTGGTAATAACAACAAGATATAATATAATTACAGCGATAGAATTTAAACTACGATCATCAAAGATTAAACTTTCTCCTGGATCCAAATTTTGATTGTCAATACGTAATTCTTGCAAACGATTTAATCCTTCCAAACCTTCAATGATACTGATATAATTTCGGCTAAGAAAACTATTAAATGAAATAAAAGGGGGCAATAGGAAAAAAAAACTTACAGTTTTTCTAATCTTTGCAATGAATTTAAATTTTCTATACGATTTATATGGTTATTTTGAAGATATAAACATGTCAATTGAGATAAATCTAAATATTTTGGTATGGATTTTAATTTATTATCATATAAGTAGAGAACAGTTAAACGTTGACATAGTGCAATTTCATGACCCTGAATAGAAAAGAGGACACATTAAGAAATGTATAATAATAATTATAGTAATAATAATAATAATTAATAATAATAATATTTATTCTCAAATAACAGTACCTTACACGAGACATGCCAGTTTACAGGTGTTATAAAATGCTACTACGTAGATATTCAAATCCTACCGACATCCGAATTCAAATATTCTAATACGACCCAAATACTACTCCCGATTCTCTTATATATCAGAACGCAACACCGTTGGACGGAGTTGTTTATTGGGTCGAGTACAGAAGAGAGGTAGGCAGCAAGAAACGGAATCGGAATCATGAAGTCTTACAGATAGTGCATATTTATACATTAAGGTCGAATAAGAAAGAGCATCGAAGTCTGTGACACTGACAGTTTTAGGACGACCAATAGGAAAGAACATTTGAAATGACATTGACAGTCTGGATGACCAATAAGAGATAACATTGAAGCATTTGACTTTGACAGTTAAAACGATCATAATTTTGACCAATAGAAATCGACCAATAGGATTATACTTCCAAAAATAGTACTCTTAGGATAGTTTTGGAAACATGAACCTCAGAAGTAGCAAGTTTTATAAGAACAACCTCAATGTTACTGATTAGTCGGCTCATCAATCAAAAGAGTCGAAACTGAACAAAATGTTCTGCCCCACAAACACAAATAATAATAATAATAGTAAGGAAGACAACTAGAATTAAAAATCACTACGGGGTTGTTGTGAAGATTGTTAAGTTTTATTTGAAACCATGAATCGATCAATGTTAGACCACCATTAGAAACCTGGAAGCACTGGACGGCCTTTTCGTCCTGGTATGGGACTCCTCAGCAGTGCGCATCCACGACTCCTGCACCCCGCAGGATTCGAACCCATGAGGTTGCACAACTCTGTGAATTGATCAAGCTAGACATTAACACCGTTAGATACCGGTTCAGTGGTCCGATGGTTAGGCGTTCGACTACAATACTGAAGGTCCTGGGTTCGAATCCTTCGGGGTGCAGGAGTCGTGGATGCGCACTGCCACTGATGAGTCCCATAACAGGACGAAACGGTCATCCACTGCCTCCAGGTTTCTAATAGTGGTCTAACATTGATTGAATCATGGTTTCAAATAAAATTAAAAATCAATTTAAAAATTAAAGCAACATACTATACATGATGAGAATATTTGAATGAATCTTACCAGTTCATCTAGATTTTTACCATTCAAATATAAATGTGTAATTCGTTTTAAATACTTTTCTGATGCTTCATTGATTTTGCGTTTTTTCAAAGTACTTTTACACAATAATGCTACACTTGACTTCACCATATTATCAACTGGTACTATTATTTTTTATCAAAAAATATTTCAGTTCATGCAATGTAATTCTAAAAAGAGGAAATAGATATAGAATGATGTTGATGATTGTAGTTACTGAAAAATTTCATTGAATATATGTTGGGGACGTTAAATCCCCAGAAATCGCTTGATAAATGCCTTATTTTGGATTTGACGTTTGCCAGCATGGGCTGATCAGTTGACCTTGAGATTTCATTTCTCACCAACAAAATCCATGGCTTTGATTGGCTGCTGTGTATTTTAGTGTGCTATTTTCTTAACTGTCCCGAGGACTTTTCTATGATGTATAAATAAACGAGAGTTGTATGCTCGATTGTATTGTGATTGCTGGGTGTGTTTGTAGAATATACTTTCTACACTTACAAAGTCTTTTTTACTTCAGCTTGGCATTCAAGGTAGCCTATCTGGACGCTGATAATTGTCTCGTTCGCGTTTATCGACCAAGGTAAACTCGTAATAGCCTCAAGCATACTTAGTGACGAACATAACAACATAAAATTGAAAATTAAGTGTTTTCTTAGGGATTCGGTTTCAAATTGAATTAGATAGTTGTTAGATGTGGAGAGATACAATTTTTTGCATTGATCCTTCGAAACTTTCAAAGAACAAACTGTTGATTAACATCATTATAACAACGATTGAAGAAAGACTTGGAATTGAATTCTTAAATCTGTGACAGGCTATAGAAGTATTGAATGTTCATCAGTTGAGATGGTTAGGACATGTGTTGCGTATGCCTAAACACTGACTGCCTCGTCGAGCTATGTTTTGTGGTGTAGGAGTAGGTAGGAAGTTATGAAGTCACTGACAAGTGGAATGAGTCATGTTGGCAGATGGATATATATATATATATATATATATATTAGTACTTGAACGAACTAGCGTCTACACTAATCATAAACGGCCAAATTAAATGAGGACAGAGTGAACACAATCGAACTCAAATATAATAGCAGAATTGAAACAATACCGAAACTAAACGTCTATGTAATTGAATTGGATTTATGTTGACATTGACACTTAAAATCACAAGGTAATTGAATTCGAACAGAAACAACGCTGAAAATAGAATTTCCTGCAATTGAATTGTAAAGAAATAAACTCAAGACTGCCTTAGACTTAACTGGTCTAGTAAGCATTAAATTGAGATGAATTTTAAACTGCCTAGAGTTTTGGATTAGCCTGACCGTTTTAATTATTTATGTATGCGTCAACATAGTAAAGGAATGCGATACACAAAGAGACAGACAAACCCTGCGGGAATCACAGGTAGGGTTTTCATCACGAATTGACATCAACTGCAATAGTAAAATGATATTTAGCCACATGGATGAATTTATTTGCATAGTATTTAATGTGGGCGTGTTTAATGTACTCAAACTTGTCAGTAACACATAAAAGTTGGTACACTCTCAATGGTCAAAAGCTCCCTTTAGATATAGCCTTCATTATTGACCTTAGAAATTTTTTTGATAATGTCTCACACAACCGGCTTCTGTCTAAAAGTGGCACCGGGATTGAGAGCAACTTAGTTATTTGGATTGGGGATTTTTCTAATTGAATACCAACAAAGAGGACAGGTTAACTCCAAGTTTTTTAGCTTAAGAACGACCTAATAGCGTGTCCTAGGGCATAGTTTTAGGGTCACTGTTGTTGCTTTTTTACGTAAATAACCTTCCTAATAGCGTACCTTAGTCGGGGCTTTTTAAGCTGAAGATATCAACATACAGAGAGCAGTAGAAAACCAAGGTGATAGTCTATAAATTCAAAATGACCTATAGAAGTCATCTTGTAGTGAAGGAGAACATAGGTGAGGGCAACCGAATTGTATTTATCGAAATTACAGAGTTAATTGGTAAAATAGGAAAACCATATCGTAAATCGTTAATTTGCAAAACATCAATCCATTGTCTGACATTTCATTATTTATGCGTTTCATACAAATTCCATTGTGTTCCCACTCTTCCTTTCTTGATCTTCCCCCATCTTCTGCTGCCAGACATTACGTTTTTACTCGCGTCATATACTACTTATAAGTAGCGCGCACCACAATCTGAATGGTCTAGGATTAGGCAATTTCCAATAAACGCTTTCTAGTGCATTATGATGCATATTGGTCATCAAGGTGCAGATAAATACATGGTGAGTAACACTGGACTAACTGTTATCCAGACTTGAAAACTACTGCACATTTTTGTGCGATGGTCATCAAAGGTTTTAGAACCCTGTGGTCTATACCTAGAGCCTTTAGCCATATCGATGCTAAAACATTGTTGACCTTGTATACAGTGTTCGTTCATCATAAAGTTGAGTAATGCGTACAAAAAAAGACAGTGATTTGCTGGAAAAGGTTTAGAGAGCCGCTACTAAGCTGATTCCTGTAATCGCCAAGCTCTCATATGATGGCAAACTGGCCAAATTGAAACCTATTTGCTTTTTCATTTAGAAGGAACAGAAGAGACTTATTCAGTTTTTAAATTAACTTATTGTAATTTTGCATTTGACATGCGCTCATTTTTCTTGTCTTCCAAAATAGAGAACTGACGAGGATGCTTCAAAAAAAAGTTCAAAAATCCAGGAAACACTACTTATCAGATAATTATTGACTTTCACATTTAATCATCAACAAATGGAACTTGGTAACTCACACACAACTGAAGCGCCATCTATCGACGCATTCAGAAGTAAGTTGGGTCAGCCGAGAGATCAATATTGCTAAGAGTAACACACAGGAACACAACCTCCTGTCCTTTCCCAAACATTGTCACAGAAACGTAGCTCGTCGTAAATGTCTACTACTCCCCAACTGTTGCAGGACATGTCTGTATTAAAAGTGCTAGGGTCATAAATCGCAAGGGAGGTGTAATTTTTTACGATAAAGACTACTTTAGTGTACAGTCGGGCACATCAGAAACACATGATAATGGTACATGAAAGATTACTTGTTGTGTAATGAATCCTAGACATAGGTTAGTGACCCGAGAGGAGGTATATCGTAGTCTATGGTGTCTTGCTGACAACTTCATTCCAAGTCATATCTGTACTTGAAGTAAGGCTATAAGTTATCTCATCGTTGGAGATTTCAACGCGCCGAACTTCAACTGCTACGATCATGTACCTTTAGGTGGATGTTTTGATAACAGCCTGCTGTCAAATATTATTCAACATACACTCATATAATAAATATGTCGCGAAACCGACACATATTACCTGAGAACATGAACCATTACTACAGGATCATGTTTTTACTTGCCATAGGGATGATGTCATCGACACTCAATACCCATCGTACTAGACTGTTTGCTAGTATTACTGTAGCGAAAAGTTATAATTATTTCATCATCATTCTACCTTAGGTTTCAAACATATAAGGCACAAAATTTATCTGCTCCATAGCGTCCAAATATCTGATGCACTGATATCCTGACCATTAGACTGTTTTTCCTCGACAGAGTGGTCAGTCAGTGTAGATGGGTCAGTCAAAAATGAATGTAATAAGGTTAAAGCCACACCCGAATATGTAAAATCTCCGTTCATCCCAAGGTCAACAAGTAAACTCCCACGATTCCGTCCATTGATCGATAGCGAAACTAGTAAACTGCCACGGCGTAAGAAATACCTCTTAGATTTGATTCTGTTAACGAGTCACGAATCCCTGAAGTGTATATACTGGAAAATAAGGAATATATTTAAAAAGACCACAGGGAGATATCGCACTATTCAGGAATCCTGATGGGTTATATCCACGATTGCTTTCATCCATCACAATGTTGTTCAATATGTCTTTTTTCCAAACTTGATTCTCTAGGGATTTCAAGGATGTCGTAATTAGTCCTGTATTTAAATATGGCAAGAAACACGACGTGTCTAACTACGTACGTGTCAGTTTAACAGCGTAGTGGTTAACTCACTTGAAAGAATAATTTTGCATTAGGTCACTAAGTCAAGTACAATTACGAATTCTTTTAACTCATAAGTAGCACAAGTTTTGGAACATACACTCACGCTTAACTTACTAACTGCGGGAAAGGAATGGACAGCAACCCAAGATGACGAGTTGTCTGTCAACGTAATATTCATAGATTTCAGCAGAGCACTTGATGAGGCTTCTCACTTGGAGCTTTTGCAGAAGCTCCCGAGCTTCCAAATAACAGGTGCAGTACATAAGTGGATGAAAAATTTCGTTCGTCGCAGAAGAGAGAGAGTAAAAGTAAATGAGACACTATTCGAAAGGAAACTGATCTACTGGTGTATCAAGAGGCACCATATTGGCTACCCCACTAATTCTTTTCTACATCAATGAGTTACCGAGGCTGCTTAATTCGTTGACATTTATATTTGAAGTCGATGTCGAAATTTTGAGAACAATAAGTGGCGAAGCTAAGCATCTTTATATCCAAGCTGATCTGGAGAAATCAGTCAGATGGTTCCACATTTGAGACTTAGAAAGTAATTCTATAAAGTCTGCTAGTGCACATCGGATACGGCGTCAGTCACCAATACACTATCAGCGGTACATTGCTACAATACTTGCAGGAACAAAAAGATTAAAGAGTAACAGTAATTCATGACTTGAAAACAACTGCACGTTGTAATTAACCAGCCACCATTGGTTTTTAGGTGTTATGGTAGAGAATTCAAATGCTCTGACAAGGATATATTTTAGGTTATTTTCCCAATCTAATTGAGACCTCACCTAGAACATTGCAACCAAGCATCTGGACTATGTCTGACTGAGGATACTGTCTTATCTGAGCGTGTTAAGAGTGTACAAACTACTTTAGTGATAGGTATTTCTAAAATCCCTTACGGTGAGAGCTTGGAGCGCCGAAATCTATCCTCCTTATCGTAGAACGCATGATGATCTTACTTTCGGCATTCAGTATCTTAAGTAACGATCTACGAGTTAACAAGTCTTACCTTGAGCTCATCCAAAAACCAATCGAAATCCCTGCAAGAAAGTTGGAAAACAATGATTAAATAAACTCAGAGTTAGGTTCTGATTTTTATATCAGGTGGTCAATGACTGCAATGCTTCATCAGTGAACACTTTCGAGAAGCCGGACCTCAAACAGGAAACAAGCTGGAAATATTAACACAGGACAACTAACCGGCTATCCTTATAACTGAAAACGGAACGATATATATATATATATATATATATATATATATATATTCACAATGCCTGTGTTAAATACTAATGGAGATGGATTCATTCACATGATTTGATATCAACTTGCCATGGTAGCTGATGTCAGTACGTGACAAAAGCCTTTGCTGCGGTTCCTATATGCATTTATTAGGAATATATAACCCAGTGATTGCATAACGTTTTATACCTAAACAACTAGGAAAGGGGAAATAAATGGGGCATTCCAACAGATAATAAACATGAACATTCGCCGACAAGAAGGTTTGTAACCCTAAATCATCACTTAAAATTTTATAACTCAATCCTGAAATTGATTTAGAGCCCTTCCTCTAATTCTATTAAAAAAGTGAATCTCCTAAAGTCATACTTCGCTCTCGAGCATTCACATTTGATATGAAAATCGATTGGTAAAATTGTGCTGTTAAGACCACAACTTACTAATGCCTTTTAGAAGTAAGACGTACTGTTGAAGGTAGCAATTCGGTATCTGTTAAACACTAATGTTATATCAATCAAAATTACGCAACGAAACAGCAGGTTAAAGAAACGCCTGTTACTATATCCAATATCCAAAATTCAATATCCATTTCCCGAGCTTGTGTAAAGCAATTAATTTTTTGCGCTCGATTCTTGTTCTTCAGTTACGGTTCCAAGTATCTGGTGGTTATTTATGAATTTTTATGTCCTGTGATTTGAATGAGCGTGTTTGTTCTCTGGGTAGAAGTGTTTCCGGATAACAAGCCGGAGAACAGTTAGCAGACAACTGGCTTAACACGGTTGATAAAAATGGCACTGAAGATCCCATTTATCTCTGGATTAATAGGATCTTTGCCATTTGAACCTTTAAGGGCACTAACACCGGACTTTAACCATTGACAAGCAGATGAGATGCCCAAAGAAATATACGATCAGAATCCTTTAGAGATACTCTCCAATTATGCCAGGCTCTCCCTTTCGCTTGTAGCGAAAGCTCAGAGCCTCATTCAACCTGTGATTATTTCTTATCGGGAGAGTGATTTGCCCGAGATACATGGAGTAATGTTTTCTAATGGTTGGGTAGTTTACCCTAGTTTGACGAAGTAATACCGCGTTTCCGTCATCCTTTAGTATTTCTATTGTGATCATGTTACAAATGAGTGCACTATGGTCAAGACCTAACGACGTATGAATATGGATATCCTCGACTGTGAGCTGATCATTTGTTAACGAATATCCCGAACTTGAGGCTTGTGGACCTAACCTCCATCTGATGGTGTGACAAATGATCTCAACCAGTTCGGAAATTCTTATGACTGTAACAAGCCACTTTTGAAAACATCATGTGTAAGTTATGGCTGTTATGAATGAAGAACGGAGTGACGGCATTTCTTGTTAGTAGCGTTTCAAGTTAGTTGCGGTATTGCCTCAATAGACCTATTCTTCTGGGCTTCGTTTCCATTTATCGATAGACATCCTGAGCAACAATTCGGACCTGTGGAATCACCCCAAGTCAGAACCACTGTGCGGCAGGTGTAGCTGTCTTGATCGACTGCTCTCTTCCCTGTTGCTTTAGCAATATGCAATAAGCACAGGACTTGTGGACAGGTTACTGGATCCACGTGAAGTTGCTTACTAGGACAATCAAAGATAAAGTTGCGATTGCGAACGTCTTTCAGATCCTATTCTTGCGAAGTTTGTATTTAATATCATTATTTTCCTTCTTTCAAAACTTCTATCTTGCTTATTCTCCTGCCGAAATTATCTCTTCTTCAGTCCTTAAATCTCTTGGGAAACATGTTCTGTAATAGCGCTGATACGGCTTCTTAACCTGTAGCAACAAGGAAAAATAGTAGAGTAACTAATTCTGGAGTTAGTAGTGAGCCAAAACTCCCAGCCTCAAGCAACAGAGCTGAGAGAAAACCCAAGACGTTATTCAAAAGTATGCCTCGGAGTAATGTCCATAGTTTGGTCACTCAAATCAAACAACTCAGCCGGGTTCACAACAAAGAAACTAGGATGATATTCCTGGGATTCCTACTCCTAGTAAGACCAGTAGGCAAGATAAGAATAGGAGATAAAGGCATTCTTAAACTCAGTTGACACAGCCCACAGTTCAGAAAGCACATAATAACAATAATAATGATAATATTTATTCTCAAATAACAGTATGTTACGAGAGGCATGTCAGTTTACAGGCTACATCAAATTATCACAAATACTAGCACATTTACTGCAAATTTATCGCAGTCGAATTAGGTATAAGAGTCAGTTTCCGATAACACATTCACACCATGTCACTGACAGAAACATGGGATACAGACAGATTTTCAGTGGGAGAGTACGAATAGGGAAGGCGCACAGTAGGTTTCTTAGGTGGTTTGCTGAGATCCATAGTGAATTTGTTGGGAAAGATCAATTGGAAAGCGCTTGATACAAGCTGTGACGATAAACGTGCGTGTAAATAAGGTAAATTTTGTCTGGAAGCACCATGGATGCTCCACAATGAATAGGGTCCTGAGAAGGAAGAAAAGAGAGAGAGAAAAAAAGTCAGCAACGTGTTAAGTATATATATATATATATAACCAAAGCACAACTTAACCTGTCATGTTGGAGTGGACAATACTGTGGTAAGTCAAGATAAAATTCATACTGACCACTAAAATTAAACTAAATTATAGCAATATGAGAATATAACCCACAAATAAAGGAGTACTGCAATGAAGAAAGAAGAGTTGTGGAGAGTATCAAATGGATAGAAGAGAAGTTGAAGTAAGAAGCTGGATTTTATGTACGTTGAAATCGAAATTTCAGTTAAAAGAGTCAGTCAGTCAAAGAAGTTGAAAGAGTAGTTTGTAAAAAAAAACATTGATAATTAAAAATTTTCACTGTCTAACTGTTTTTTTTTATGATTAAACGCCAACCTCTAAATCATTCTGCATGTGCCTTAGTAAGTATGTTGCGGTTGTCTTGGCAGAATAGCGACTGCAGTATGGTTTTGGAAACACAAACCTCAGAAGTAGCAAGTCTCATAAGAACAACCTCAATGTTACTGATTAGTCAGCTTATCAATCAAAAGAGTCGAAAACAAACGAAATGTTCTGCCCTACAAACATGGGTGGTTTGAATTCATCGCCCACCACATCAATGTTTTCTGGTCAGCAACTCAACCCTTTCACCCTCTTCGCTAAGAGGGAACCTATTCCGTTGATGACGACAGAAGACACTGGAAAAAGAAATCCTCCTGAGATCCCAGAGACCCTAAGTTAAATTTTATCACCTGATCCAGATCAGGTACTACAAGCCTTAATCAGTACTAGTTGCAGCCAGGACATCGAAAGGCACCTAAAATCAGGTCAGCATGAAAATTTATGGTGTGCCCGAGCCTGTTAGTGGTTGCTTAGATGAAGCTGACGCAAATGATGAGCAACAATGGTGATGGATACCATGTAGCATGGGTCTTCATACCACCATGGCAGTTACCATTTCCCGGCTGCCTTGTCCGTCACACCTTACGATTATTGAGTGTGCATATCTGGTGGCCGTGAACTTCAGAAACTGAGGTTCCCCAGGTTTGCCAAGCACGAAGAGTGATCTCTCTATGTAGAATTTATTTCACAGGCGGCTGTCCTAATCACGTCCAATAGAAACACACCGGTACGATACTCCTAGATCCCCGTCCCAGCCAAATCAGAAAGCCGAAAATTCTAGGAGAAAACCGTCTCTATTGTTATAAAATGGAAATACAGAGGCTTACGATGTTTATGTTTCTTCCAGGACTAAATTACTCCGTAGAGTATCTATTACAATAGCTAGTAAGTGACACTAAGTCTAGCAGCCACCGCGTCTATCCAAAAATGTGGCGGTAGCCATATTATATCAAATTTAAACAATATATGTACAGTTCAAAGGCAAACACAAAAACTTCAATATAAGTACAAAATATGGAAAGAATAACAACATACAATGGTAAAATCTCAAATTGGAATCAAATAAAATACCAAAAATGTCAAGAGAAAAAGTCCATCAGGTCATAGCAAAAATATGTAAACATGGAGGGATTTTCCCAAAAACAAAACATTCAAAAAGAATTCTACACCGGCCCGCAAAATCCCTCCATGCAAAAACAGCAGGCGTTAATGACACCTTATTTAGGGTTCCCATGTTATCCCCTAATCCACACCGGAATAACGTGTAGGACTTACAGCAGTACGCCTACCCGCCATCCAACATGGATATGACCTATCGTGTTAACTAGGTTCCTATACTTTCCCATCAGGCCCTTGATTCCCCTATCTATCGTGGAATGACCTAACGGTAGTATAAACCTTACCCAATTAACCCATACGAACATGAACAACGCGTCGCAAAACTGGTCATATCCTATCCAAGGACTACATTCTCTATCGTGGGGACGAGTCGCCAATCCACCACCACTTGCTCTGATCAGCAGATAACATGAAGTCCATGATGCCAACTTATCAACAGAAGTTTTTGACCCATAAATAATATGCAAGGGTGGGATTTCCAATTTTGACATTTCATCGTCTCCAGAAGACTTTAAGTAGCATGACGTGGGATCAATATTTATCCTTCCATCTCCTGATGCAGAGGAGGTTTGAACAGTGTTCATCATCGTCGGTAACTCATTTGTCACATCAGTGACATCCAGTTTATTATCAACGTCTAAATGATTCCGTTCTACATTAGCATCCGTTTCCGCGGCACAAGACATATGCTCAACAATAGCATCGTCATCACACAGCACTGTAGACTGGCTGTTACCATCAAACATTTTCTTCTCATCATCACTCGACTGACGGTCAACCGTAATAGGAACAGTTACAGTTGCACAACCTTGTGCATCTTCAATCAACTTAACCTTCGTGACGAGGTCCAATGGCGTCGAAACACTAGGAGGCTCACTCGATGAAGTCGATAAACTAGTCCCTATAAGTGGACTGCTGACACTTTCTATATTCTTATTATCACTGTCACTATTGAGGTTCTGATGGCTACTATTTCCATAGCTAGTCGTAGCGTCCGAAAGAGCATGAGGTTCAGGCTTCTTAGTAATAGTAGCATCATGTCTCCTAGGCTTCTTAGCCGTTACTGTACCACCATCACTTATCCTAGAATCTACTCTAGGTCCAGTTATGTAATTTACCCTAACTGAAGGGTTCCGAAAATAAGCTTTATTCCGTTCAGTCAATCCTGCCTGGGCTTTATTCATATTTGCTGAACTCACTAACCTCTGATTACTCGAAT